AACAGTTCATTAGCTTATGATCTTTCTTCCACAGTTAAGAACAGTGTATTATGAAACGAGAGAAAACAACAATAATTGCAACTTTGACATATCAATAGATGTTCATCCACGAAACGCAAATTCAAGAGGTATGTTGTTGTAGTGATTGTTCATAGCATTTCTATTTAGAAATGAATACCATTTAATATATAGATGACCTTCTATTTCACCAGATCCTATTCTTCTCTCACCACGGATAGTGGCCTGTGCCAAGTGAGTACACAGCTGTAAATTCTACAGAACAGCACATTCTATGGTCATTTTAAAAGACACAGTCAAAGGTATCTGAACCTTTAAGCTAACTGACATCTACTTACGTCCAATTATCTCTCTCAAACTGCATAACACAAGTGGGGGCCACTGAAAAAGCTTGAACCATGTTAATAACCATGAGTTAAGCATCCCTTTTGGCCAAAACATATTACTACAAAATAAACAAGCCAGTATTATTATGGCGCCCTCTGGTGGATGAGGGACCCTAAGCAACTGCTTACACATCTGTTTAATAGGGCCATACTGTAGAAACAGTGTACAGTCTTGGATAGTGCTTTATAGCACATAGTATTATGTCAATGCAAATAGTTTAAAACATTGTTTTAACAAAAATATATTTTCACCGAATGTCCTAGTAATGTTTATCTCACAGATATAAACCACGTGAAAATGAGGTTGAGATTGAGGCAGGTCACACAGTATTGGAAATTAATCTGCCCACTGGTGTGAGCCCAATCCAAGAGGACCTAAATAGGGTGAGACACATTCATGAGCTTCTTTAGTGCTGCTGAACCACAGAATTTGAGGGAAAATTATAACTATTCTTAATTCGCCACATATATTGCAGTTTAGGGATGGACTCGAGAGTCGTATTTCTGACTATGAAATAATAGGCAGCCAAGTGATTCTCCAGATAGATTCCGTGAGTATATGTTCTCATGATCTTTGGGTCATGAGTAACAAACATTAAGTAATAATACTGATGTGTAAAAATCTGTTTGATTCTGCATAGTACCTCTTTTATGGTTTATAGATACCCTCAGATGAGTTCTATTGTGTGGGCTTCCGTATACAAGAGGTGTTTAGAACTGGATTGAACAGTGCTTCTGTGTTCAAAGTGTATGAGTATCATGATCCAGGTAAAGCATGTCTCTAAAGGTGGCCTGTGGTCCATTCTTCTGGACTCATAAATTATAGACCCAAGAACATATCGTGTAATATGTACTGAATTATAACGACAAATATTCCAAACTTTCCATACTTGTTTTTGTCTACAGACAGTCAGTGTACAAAGTTATACTACAGTGAGAGCCGCAAGCTTCTCCGTCTCTGTGAGGCAGACCAGTGTCAGTGCATGGCAGGTAAGCCTCACATATACTTTCATACACAATTTAATTTAAGTTCTGAATAATAAAGATCATGATAAACAGAAAAGGTATATACACGCTGTCTAACTCCCTGTTGCCCCTCCTGCTCCACAGCGGAATGTTGCAAACTCAAGGCCAGCATTGACCCTTCTCTTACTGTTCAACAGAAAATACGCGACGTTTGCAAAGACAACATCAAATATGGTAAATACTCAGTCAATAAAACATGGAGCCCAATTATCATATGCAGAAGTAAAGAACGCAAAAGTTGGACATCATTTGAAATTGTAGAAAATTTAGACATTTTAAGTAACTGCTTTTGAAAACTATTCTTTCTCTCAGCATTAAAAGTGAAAATAACGTCAGATGAAGCAGAAGGTGATTTTCTGACATACAATGCAAATGTGGAATCAGTCATTGAAAAAGGTGGGTGCACACATCTCTGGCTTCATCTAATATGAAAGATACGATAAATGAACATTCTCATGTACCCTTCTAAATTCCTTCTGCACCACAGGGTCATTAGACATTACAAAGTCAGATACACCTCAGGTCAGCTTTGTAACGAAAGCAACTTGTACCTCAACAAAGTTGGAAATTGGCAAGCAGTACCTGATTACGGGTGCAGAGATCATGACTATTCGAGTAAACCGTAGTTACAAGTAAGTCTCTGTCTTATGCTACATTTTCCTACCTATAATCCGTATGGAACTGTAGGGAATATGACTTCTGGCCAATTTTCATTAACATGTTTGAACAACAACTGAGTGTTGTATTATGATTTTGTTCTTGTGCAATCAGGTACAAGTTTCCATTGGACTCACAAGCTTTGGTGGAGTGGTGGCCCTGGGATTCCGAGTGCCAGACTAGCTCTTGCAAGCAATATACTAATGTTTTAAATGATTTTGAATTTGAATACCTTAATAGTGGCTGCCATTAGAGTGGCTGCTCTACATTTACAACATCCACATTCGTTCTGGAACTTTTTGGCATTTGTTGAAGATATGTATATTTCCGTATACAACCTCCCATAACAATGCATGTTTTAGAAGGGCTATGAAAATTATATTACACATAAGTTGCATTTTACATATAAAATGATCTACAGTGGTGCTTGAAAGTTTGTGAATCCTTTAGAATTTTCTATATTTCTGCATAAACATGACCTAAAACATATTCAGATTTTCACACAAGTCCTAAAACTAGATAAAGAGAACACAATTAAACCAATGAGACAAAATTATTATACTTGGCCATTTATTTCTTAAGGAAAATTATATATAGCATTATATATATATTACAATATTACATATCTGAGTGGCAAAAGTATGCGTACCTTTAGGGTTAGGAGTTAATTTGAAGTTGAAATTAGAGTCTGATGTTTTCAATCAATGGAATGACAATTAGGTAAGTAAACTCCCTATTTTACTTAAAGAACAGGGATTTATCAAAGTTTGAACTTCTCAACACGTTTGTGGAAATGTATCATGGCACGAATAACTGAGATTTCTGAGGACTTCAGAAAAAGAGTTGTTGATGCTCATCAGGCAGGAAAAGGTTAGAAAACCACCAAATAGAGTTTGGACTCCACCAATCCACAGTCAGACAGATTGTGTACAAATGGAGGAAATTTAAGACCATTGTTATCCTCCCCAGAAGTGGTCGACCAACAAAGATCACTCCAAGAGCAAGACGTGTAATAGTCCACGAGGTCACAAAGGAACCCTGGGTAACTTTCCAGAACCTTCACGCTAACTAAAAAAAACAAAACACACCTTTACTCTGTGCACTTTGTGAACTCAATTAAAGTATCTTGTATAGTACCACTACTTATATTGTTTTCTGATTGATATATCGCTTTTTTATTTGTAAGTCGCTTTGGATAAAAGCGTCTGCCAAGTGAATAAATGTAAATGAATAAATGTAACTTCTAATCAACTAAAGGCCACTCTCACATTGGCTAATGTTAAGGTTTCTGAGTCCACCATCAGAAGAACACTGAACAACAATGGTGTGCATGGTAGGATTGCAAGGAGAAAAAATACTGCTCTCCAAAAAGAACATTGCTGTCCCTCTGTAGTTTGCTAATTATCACGTGGACAAGTCAGAAGGCTAATGGAAAAAATGTTTTGTGTATAAATGAGGCCAAAATAGAGTTTTTGGTTTAAATGAGAAGCATTATGTTTGGAGAAAGGAAAACATTGCATTCCAGCATAAGAACCTTATTCCATCTGTGAAACATGGTGGTGGTAGTAGTATAATGGTTTGGGTTTAGTATAAGTCCTGACCTTAATCCAATAGCAAGCAGTTCATGTGAGGAAACCCACCACCGTGCCAAGCTGTTCTGTAATGAAAAATGTTAGTGCAGAAGCCTAAGATGACTAAGTGTACGATTAAGAGTGATTGAAGACATGCATGGTAGGTTGATTGGTGTGTCTAAATAGTGTATGAATGTGTGTGTGAATGTGTATGTGCCCTGCGATGGACCGGTACCCTGTCCAGGGTGTACCCTGCCTTGTGCCCGATGCCTCCTGGGATAGGCTCCAGGCTCCCCGCGACCCTGAAGAAGGAGTAAGCGGTTGAAGATGGAATGATGAAAAAACAATCAGCATTTTAAGAGTGACTAGATGATAAACCAGCATTTGAACTGTGATAATGTTATAAAAATCCATTGTTTCTAAATAATAATAATAATAATAATAATAATAATAATAATAATAATAATAATAATAATAATAATAATCTGAATGAGCTATGATGAATTAATTGTGGCAAAAGGTCAGGTGTGACTAAAAGAGAAATGGGGGGAACCCTGCCTAAATGAGATGAGATGTTTCAGGATTGTATAAAAGCCTGTGCTACGATTGTATTCATTCAGACTATCTGCAGAAGTCTCCGTCTGTTGTGTTTTCAATAAAATTTTTGGCATCTTTAACCCTTTGAGAAGATCACATTTTTCTTCATTCTGATGTTTGATGTGAACATTACCTGAAGCTCTTGACCTGTATCTGGATGATTTTTTATTTTTTATATTTTTTTTTCCTTGTGCTGCTGCCACATGATTCAATAACTGCATTAATGTGCCGGTGTTCCTAATAAAGTGGACGGTGAGTGTAATTACCCCTGACTCTCACGCCAAACCCTCCACACAATTTTCTCCTTTAAAAGACTTCCTCCTTAATATTTGTGTACTAAAGGTATTAAGTCGAACCATCCATCCATGTTCTACCACTTACTCCTTCTTCAGGGTTGCGGGGAGCCTGGAGCCTATCCCAGGAGGCATCGGGCACAAGGCGGGGTACATCCTGGACTGGGTGCCAGTCCATCACAGGGCACAATCACATACACACTCACACACCCATTCATACACTACAGACACTTTAGACACGCCAATCAGCCTACCATGCATGTCTTTGGACTGGGGGAGGAAACCGGAGAACCCGGAGGAAACATGCAAAGAGGACATGCAAACTCCACACACCGGGGGAAACGGAGAACCCGGAGGAAACATGCAAAGAGGACATGCAACACACCAGGGCCAGGAAACCGGAGAACCCGGAGGAAACATGCAAAGAGGACATGCAAACTCCACACACACAGGGCCACGGCGGGACTCGAAGCCCGAACGCTGGAGGTGCGAGGCGAACGTGCTAACCACTAAACCACCATGCCCCCGTGTTAAGTCCTATATTAAGAAATAAAATAAATAAATAAAATCAAATAAAAATAACAAAAAATAAAACATTGTTAATAATGTCATAAATACTTTAACACTTCCTCCATTTCTTAAAGCAGCCTGCTGTTTTTCCTTTTGAAATCTGAAAATTGTCCATTATTATCTATCTATCTATCTATCTATCCATCCATCCATCCATTTATTTCATCATAATAATAAATTAGTTCGGACTTTTATTTTGACAGAATCGTATTACTGTGGTTTGTGTTAAACCCCCGGAGCTCAACCATGATCTGCTTTGAGGTTCTTTCTAATAAACGCGTTGTCACAGACCATAAACCGTGGACTTGTAACTAAACCCTTCAGAGAAAACATTGTCCGTGCTTGTGTTTTGGGAGAAGCTAGCGCGGTCCTGTACTGTCCGATTCCCACGTAGCGCTCTACCGTTAACGGCGTGCCCTCCGTTGTATCTCCATGGCAACAAACACAGCGTCCTGGCAGTGCTGCTTTCTAGCCGAGACACTCGCGCGTCCCCGGGGATACAGTGAGGATAAAGTTCGTAAGAAGGCAACGCGATTATTCCATGTTCTTCAGATATTCGGCAGTTAATCCGCGACCTAACAAGATTCGTTAAACGCGCTAGTTAAATTAGTTACAGCTAGCTAACTAAGTGACTATCTAAAACTACAACCGTTCTCTAATCTGATCTAATCTAATCTAACAACGTTGTGTGTTCGCGTCATGAATATTCACCAGCTCATTGGAGTGGACCGTGTTGCATAAGCGAGCTCGTTTGGATAGCTAGCTACCGATTCCCCGCCGAAGCCTAGCAGGCACTCGGCGGTTTTAACTGGCCAGCATGAAACGGGTGAGAGATTCACACAGAGCCTCGGCTGTGGAGACAGAGAACGTGTCCAGCAGACCGGTGAGTTCAGCTTGTCCTCCTGGAACCAGCCGGAATCTCACAGCAGCGAGTGAAGATGCAGCTGAACTCAGTGATGACGGTAAATTACAGCTCTTGTATCCATCCTTCCATCCATCTTCTACCGCTTAGTCCTTGTTCAGGGTCGCGGGAGAACCTGGAGCCTATCCCAGGGAGCATCGGGGACAAGCTGGGGTACACCCTGGACAGGGTGCCAGTAGCTCTTCTATCGTTTACCCTTTAAAAACATAATGTTCCCTCCACCAGCTGGACAGGACTTTCCATGATCATTCACACAAAGCTTTCAGGTACACAGTGACTGTCCTTGTATTTCTTCAGGACATGATGAGGGAAGGACATGACATTCAGGCATTCATCTTCTGGAACCGCTTTGTCCCACTCAGGGTCGTGCTGGATCCCTGGTGGAGCGGATCGGGTAACTCTAGGTGCAAGACGGGAGAAGTCACCCCGGATGGGACGCCAGTCCATCCCAGCACACCCCACTACACATACGTTCACACACTTATTCACATCAAAGGCTATTTATAGCAGCAGTCATGTCTACTGGTATGCTCGTGTGTGGTGAGAAGAAACACTGGAATAAAGTCGGTATGAGTTCGATATTCGCGGATATGCGGAAATTAAGGGACCGTCTCTAAAGTTACATACGACATTGTTAAACACGGGTGTAAGTTCAATAGCATTGGAAGGGAATGACTTACAGTCATATAACCAACTGTAAAGTGTTCATCCAGGTGTCAAGTATAATGCACACCTCTTAGATTTCTGATATTTATCAAAATAAGCAATTAAATTATATATTAATATTGCCATGTATTTGACTAGAGAATAGGCCCATACACAAAATATACCATTATTTAAAGCTCATTAGATTTTGAAGGGAATGTTATTGAGCTTCAAATAATGGTATATTTTGTGTATGGGCCCATTCTGTAGTGAAATACATGGCAATATTTATATATGATTTAATAGCTTATTTTGATAAATATATAAAAAAAAAATCTAAGATGTGTGCGTCATAGCTGACACCTAGATGAACACTTTACAATTGGTTGTGTGACTAAGTCATTCCCTTCAAATGCTATTGAAGTTCGAACCGTGTTTAACAATGTCGTATGTAACTTTCGAGACGGTCCCTTATTTTCCGCATATCCGAACGTATTCCGTATTCCGAACGTCAACGTCAAACCGACTCTATTCCAGTGGAAGAATTCAGAGAACCCTGAGGAAACCCACACATAGAAAACTAAACAGACAGTAATCTCAGCTCTGTATTGAACTGGGTCACAGGTCTGGTGCTGTGAGGAGGCAGTATGTGACATTTCATGTGCAAAAGGGTTACACATTTCATGCTGGTTTCAAAACAAACATGATTTTTTCGTAAATATATAATCAAAAGATATAACACAACGTTTTCCTTGTGTCTGGTGAAATTCCCCTATTGGCCCCCATCTATCATGGCCCCCTAATAGTCCCCATCTCTGAATTGGCTACATCACTCTCTCCTTTAATAGTTGGTGTGTGGTGTGGTTCTGGCGCAATATGGCTGCCATCGCATCATCCAGGTGGATGCTTCACACTGGTGGTGGTTGAGGACCCCCCATACAACATAAAGCACTTTGAGTGCCTAGAAAAGTGCTATATAAATGTAAGGAATGATGTGTCGGCTTGGGTTTGACAAAAGCGTTACCTTGCTTCTAGGTGGGAACATACGTGTTTGTGTGTGTGTGTGTGTGTGTGAAGGATGTCTTCCTGCATTGTGCCCACTGTTCCCAGTATAGACTCTGAATCCACCATGATCTTTAACAGTATAAAGTGGTTACTGATGCTGAATAAATGAATGAATAAACGATGTGACACTGTCAGAACAAACCTCTGTTTTGTCCCCCCCCCTAACATTTGTCAAACACTGTGAATCCAGGCCCTCTATATTTAAGGTTGTAATAATGCTGTCACTTTCACTCTCTTACATTTGGTTCGAAGATGAAACAAAATGCACAGGAACACGGTACATCACAGAAGACTTTATTAAGAAGTTAACCAAGCAAGACAATTTATCTCTTGTGCGCACCTTGAATCTGTCCACTCCTCATGGAGATAAAACCTTCCGGGTAAGACTGACTGACTACCTTTATTCTACTGCTCATAACCTATTGATCTGAGTGTTTATTCAGTGATATGTTTGCTGATTTGTTCTGTTAGTACATCGAGAACTTGGACAAGTGTGACCGTCTTCAAGTTCTCAATCTTAGTAACAACATAATTGAAAAAATGGAGAAATTGGAGAGGCTTCATCAATTGCGAGAGCTGCACCTTTCCAATAACAGAATAAGGTAATATATATATATATATATATATATATATATATATATATATATATATATATATATATATATATATATATATATATAATTTATTATTTATTTTTTTTTAAGTTAAAGAATATCTTATTTTGTGCAATTACTGAAAGGTTGTCTCATTAAATTGTTGTTGTCCACCATGCAGGAAAATAGAAGGCCTCGAGCAAATGGCAAATCTACAGATTCTGAATCTGGCCAACAACAGCATTGAACAAGTTCCGCCGTGGTTTGGGAAAAAGCTCCGATCTCTTCAGAAGCTAAACCTTCAGAAAAACGAGATCTTTTCAGTTAGTCTTACCTTATTCTGCCGAAGTTGTTTATCAGTTATTCGTGCATGCCATGACATAACTTTTATCCTCTTTTACCTTTTAGCTTCATGAGCTCACCAAATTGAAGCTTCTAAAAAGTCTAACTGAGCTGATGTTAGCAGAGAACCCTGTCTCTGACCTTCCCCAGTACCGCCTCTTCTTAGTCTTCCACCTGAGATCACTGGAATTTTTGGACGGGCAGCCAATCAGCGAGCAGGAGAGAGAAAAAGCAGATCAGCGCTTTCACACTGGTATATAGTTACTTCTACCTGCTGTCTACATAATTAGCTCCCAAAACAGATTCTTACTAGGGCTGCAGGATAAAGGGAAAATATGGTGTTGGATAAAGGTTAATATTGCATTTGCACAGTTAGAGGGAATCAATTCAGACTAAAGTTACAATTGTGCTATGTCTCTGACTCAGTGTTTATACAGTGCACTCCACTATATTGGCACCCTTGGTACTTATGAGCAAAGAAAGCTGTGAAAATGTGTCTCTATTGTTTAACCTTTTGATATTTTGGTAAAAAAAAACACAAAAACACTGCTCTCATGGATATCAAACAATTGCAAACACAGCACAGTTTATAAAAAAAATCTTTGTTAAATATAGGTGTGCAACAACCATTGGCACCCTTTTATTTAGTACTTTGTGCTACTTCCCTTTGCCAAGATAACAGCTCTGAGTCTTCTTCTATAATCCCTGATGAGGTTGGAGAACACATGGCAAGGGATCTGAGACCTATCTTCATACAGAATCTCTCCAGATTCTTCAAATTTCGAGGTCCATGCTGGTGGACTCTTTCAGTTCTCCCCACAGGTTTTCTATGGGGTTCAGTTCAAGGGACTGGGATGGCCATGGCAGGAACTCGATTTTGTGCTCAGTAAACCATTTTTGTGTTGATTTTAATGCATGTTTTTCAGAGACTTCTGTGTTCATATTGACCAAGGGTGCCAATATTAGTGGAGGGTACTGTATACTGTGCATATATATACACATTATCTCACAAAAGTGAGTACACCCCTCACATTTTTGTAAATATTAGTTTATATCTTTCCATGTGACAACACTGAAGAAATGACACTTTGCTACGATGTAAAGTAGTGAGTGTACAGCTTGTGTAACAGTGTAAATTTGCTGTCCCTCAAAATAACTCAACACACAGCCTTTAATGTCTAAACTTCTGGCAACAAAAGTGAGTGAAAATGTCTAATTGGGCCCAATTTGGACATTTTCACTTAGGGTTTTTTTTTTAGGGGGGTTCACTTTTGTTGCCAGCGGTTTAGACATTAAAGGCTGTGTGTTGAGTTTTTTTGAGGGGACAGCAAATTTACACTGTTACACAAGCTGTACACTCACTACTTTACATTGCAGCAAAGTGTCA